CTCTGAACTAAAATTTAACAAAGCTCAACTTACGTATACATCCAATAATACACAAGCACCAAGAAATGACCTCATGAAAACCCGAGCAGGAAGAGTAATTAGTATTGCAAAAGTGAATAAAAATATTCTAAAAATCATTTGAACATTTTTCAAGTTTATTTGAACAAGTTATAATCAAGATATCACCTTGTTAACAGATCCCACAGCAACATTCAGGAGTACCTATACTGGAAATTTGAACAAAATCCATTTTTGGCCGAAAATGACAAAATTGTAAGTCTAAAGCCTTAAAGGACTTTGGCCAAAAAACATGCTTTTCTCTTGAACTAAAATTAATGTGCCAACTATTTAAGTACATCCAATAATATACCAAGAAATGACCCTTGAAAACCCATAAGGGAGAATAGTATTGCAAGTTAATTAAAAACATCAAAATCATTTGAACATTTTCAAGTCATTTGAACAAGTTACAATCAAGATATCAAGTTTTTAAGCTAATAGATCTCTTAAGCAGCACATTCAGGATACTATACTCGAAATTTTGAACAAAAATCCATTTTTTAATGAAAATGAGATGTACCAGGTGTCTATAGCCTTAACATTTTGCCAAAAATACGTTTTTCTCTGAACTAAAATTAATGTGCTTAACTATTTAAGTACATCCAGAATAATGACATAAGCACCAAGAAATGACCCCTGAAAACCCATAAGTAAGTGTGGCGAGTAATTAGCATTGCAAAAGTAATTTTTATTCAAAATCATTGAACATTTTCAAAAGCCATTTGAACAAGTTATAATCAAGATATCAAATTTTGCTAACAGATCCTAAGGTTATTATCCACAGGAGTACCTACACTACTTGAACAAAACTATTTTTTGGCCGGAAATGACAAAAAATTGTAAGCTCAAAGCTCCAAAGGATTTTTTTGCACAACATGCTTTTTCTCTGGAATCTGCAAATTTAATGTGCCTAACTATTTAAGAATTAATACATACCAAGAAATGACCTCTTGAAAACCCATAAGTGGCGAGTAATTAGCATTGAAAAGTAATTAAAATAGCCCAAAAATCATTTTGAACATTTTCTAAAAAGCCATTTGAACAAGTTATAAATCAAGATATCAAATTAAGTTAACAGATCCTTACAGCACATTCAGGAGTACTTATACTGTAAATTCTTGAACAAAAAACCATGGCCGAATGACGAAAAATTGTAAGTTTAAAGCCTTTAAAGGATTTTTATTAAAAATACATGCTTTTCTCTTGAACCAAAAATTTAAATGCCTAACTGGCCATGCTATCCAGAATAATACAACAAGCACCAAGAAATGACCTCGAAACCCATAAGTGGCGATAACAGCATTGCAAAAGTTAATTAAAAATATTCAAAAAACTATCGAACATTTTCTAAAAGCCATTTGAACAAGTTATAATCAGATATCAAATTTTTGCTAATAGATCCCACAGCACATTCAGGAGGCCTGGCATTGAAAATTTTGACAAAATCCATTTTTGGCTTCGAAAAATGACAAAAATTGTAAGTCTATAGCCTTAAATACTTTTTTCTTTAATGTACATAAATATATAACTTTACTTTAAAAGGAATTGTAGGATCATCATTTAGATCCACATCAGATTATGAGCTTAAACAAAATTCATATGCTGAGATCGAACTTTTAGATATACATATATGATTGGGATATACTGATAACACTACTTGTCATCACATATTATGCCTGAACCACAAAATGGGATAAAACTCTCATAATACCTAAGATATTCGGGTAATTACATGCCAAATACTGTCAATTGTTGAAGACTTTTGACCCTGCCACGTCTCTGTTCCACACCATATTTTTTCTTTAATAATTTTCATGTACTGGTTATAAAGTGTATCTGTGCCTCCGCAAGTGTGGTCTGTATTCATGCTGGACTGTAGACCTGCATATTCTATATTCTTGCCTCTCCAACTGTAAACCTGTATGACAAGTTTATTGAATAAATACTTTACTATTACCAAAACTTAAAGGAATCGCCTTTTCTATGATGACAAGTTTGTGGTTTCATTCAGGATGTCGTTTACTATCACAGCATAACCACACTATAAATTAGATAAGGTTAAATGTGTGTGTGTGTGTGTTCTTTTATATAGGAGAGTATTTACACGTTACTCAGATAAGCATTTCTGTGTATACAATCATGATTCACTCTAAACAGGTGGATGATAATCTTGTACATGTCTGCAGGAAACAAATACATACAAGCTGTCGCCTTAACACACAAACACGTATTCATGTACACTGTAAAAAATCTAAGGTTAGCCACCATATTTTGTTTTACGGTGATTTTCTGTTAGTTCCGCGTTTTACAGTGACACCGTCGTCGTCTGCTATGACATTTACGGACGCCGTAATTAGGCACTGTAAATTTTACGGTGGAACATTGGCAACTGGGCTGCCAGTATTCCACCGTAAAATTTACGGCACATTTTTTACAGTGTAGAGTTAGCAGCACAGGTGTAGGAATTCTGGTACTAGGATAAAAGACTTGTTTATGTCTACTGTAAGGAAACACCTGTACCTGTAGCTATGACTGAGATCACCACACCTGTACCTGTAGCTATATGACTGACATCACCACACCTATTCCTGTAGCTATGACTGACATCACCACACCTGTACCTATGAATGAGATGAGAGAGGGAGGAGGGGGCGGTGGGGTGTTAGGGCGGGGGAGAAGAAGTAGGTGGCATAGTACCAGCGTGAAGGAGGAGGGATTGGAGAGAGAGAGAGTGTTTTAATGCAGATGGGCACCTCAATCCTAAGTTAATTCCACTACACTGATAAATGTAGTGCACGAATTATTGGAAATCCGCTACTGCATGGGCTAAATACAACAAAATATTTATTAGGAATGATAGATATATACTGTATATTATGTACTTATATTCATATTTGTACTGGTTTCAATAACAATTACATATTCAGTAAGGAAAGGTGCAAGTAACACCTCACAATTTGCATCACCTGAACCATAACAAGAGAGGGGGATTAACTGGTTCTCAGTTTAGTCTGCAGCTCTAGGTAAAGGTGTCCTCTAGACCAGCATTTTCCGCCGTTCCAGTGAGGCGGGATTATATGTAAAAGGGACCGACTGAAAAAGGCACGTCTAGTCGTATGCCCGAGGCGCGGCTAGCTGTATACCTCCTGTATAGCGGCCGCTCCTTAAATGGATGGTATACTGTATGTCTCTCTTACAAACACAGCCACCAACAGTATGCACTATTCATATCACAGAACCATTAGACTTAGGAACAGTACTACTTTATTTATTTTCCAATTAGAAGATGTAACGAAAATGTTGTGTTATAATGCAAACATACCTTGTCCTTAGGTCAGGTACAGAATTACAAAGGCACTGATGGCAGGTTTGAATATATAAATATAGAATCTGAGTTAACAATGGGTTACACGACCACTAACAGTGAAGGGCCTAAGTTCACCAGGGGCGCCAATGAGGGTTCTGCTGGTGATAGTGAGCTGGGTAGGGGCATAGCCTGCACTGATAGGGGGCCACCGAGGGCAAAGAGACGTATTTTGTTGGTCGCTGGATTGCCGGAGTGACAACTAGTCTTGGTAAGACAGTAGCCTTAGGTTTAAGTGTCGGGGGTGAGCGTGTCAGACCCACAGCCACCGTGAAGGATTGCTGTATGGGCGGCGTCGGTGCTACAACGCCGATACGACGATGGGGTGTAGCCAGGTCAAGTGGGGCCACCTGAGGGTCAGGCTGGTGACCTACAGCGACCTCGGGAGGGATGGAGTGGTCAAATGACGATTCTAAGCAAGAGGATGCTGGGCGAGCAATTCTTGTGTAAGTTTCAGGGCTAGCGCAGTCCTTTGGAAAGTCGGGCGCTCCTTGTGGACTGCTCCGGGCCGACTCAGGGGAGGAAGGTGCGCCTCCTGCCTCTGGGGACGTGGCATTTGTCGGGGAACTGTTTCTGGAAGAAATGGCGGCCCAAGAAGGCAACACCAGTGCCAGCTGACTCGATACCAGGCGTGTCTGCACCAGTGGCACCCCGGTCGGCAACTCCTGCTGTGGTGAAGCGGTTGGTATTGGAACCTCGTCCATTTCTGTTCTTGGTTTTACGTTGGCGGGTTCTGAAGTGGTGGTGGAACTAAGGTGTGAGAGAACGCGGGCCTGGAGGTCAGGGAAATCATTGAGGCCAGAGAGGAACCTGCTGACCTCGGCGCATTGGGTGAAGCCTGCACGGTACTTGGCAGTGGAGTCCGTAGGTGGTGGGGAGTAGAATTCTCCTGGCGGTGTAGTGCCTGTACGTGCCGCACCGTCATCTCCAGAATGTCTGCCTTTTCCGATATCGCGTCGGCTGTTGAATAAGAGACATAACATAAATATAGTATCACATATATAAAGAAAAACAAGCGAGTCCTCTTTATGTGTGTTGCCTTCCTCTATAAGCAACAAGACTCTGCGTGAAAGAAACAGATCAACGGAAGTGGAATTCCTACGTATGTATTAAGAGTTACTGACAAAACTTGAGGAATTAAGAAGATCGAGAATGATGACTCACGTCTTTCCTTTGGGCGGTGAGGACAAGGTTCTTGAGCTCGTTGAGGCAGTGGTTGATCCTCTCCCTCCTGCGGCGCTCCATCAAGGGCTTGTTGCTCTGGGGGACACACACACACACAAGGTCAATAACTCATAATAAAAAGAAATCGTGCCTAGAAACAGCCTCAATCGTGCATTATATCCACATTACAGTTTTAAGTGCTCGAGTTATTACAACGGATTAACAGTATAAATAGTGATACTTAACCCAGCTTCTGTACACCAGCAATACACCTATACGTCACGCTCCTCTCACACACAGGTGCCGGGAGCTTCTGACTATTGCTACACCTGCAATTTACTGTCCTCCTGTACTACACACCTGTACAATATTGTCCTCCTGTGCCCCCACACAACTGCCCATTACTGTCGTCCCGTACCGCACACCTGTACACATGTCTTTCCACGCCACACACACACCTCCCTTCCACTCTCTACTATATGTGTAATTATTCTATCTATCTATCCTTCTCGTTTTCTCCTTTTCTGGTTTTATCTTGTCTTTCATCCAGTCATCCATTTTTTACATCAACAATTACGTTCTTTATTCTTCATCTTTTTAACTAATGAGAGAGAGAGAGAGCATGTGTGGTATATAAAAAAGACTAAAAAAGATAATCAAATAGAGTTAATGACGACAAATGTTAAAAGATAAGAAACTTATATCCACACCAGTTGAGATACGTACCCTTCTTGTCTTGGGGGTGTCTGCCATGGTGGAGTCAGGTGAAGTGCACATGACAATTATTTAACTCAGTTCGCTGTACTATCACACTCGCTTCTTCACCGCATCTTATTAAATTCCATCAGATTCCGTGTGCCTGACGTGATTATGTATATAAATATCAAGAATACAAAGGCACTGGCTTATGGATCCAAGTGGGACGTTACATCAAAGAGTGTTGCGATGAGAAATGACGACACACTTCTGCAGTACCCTGTCGCGTGTCTCAGGAGGGTGCGCACGTCCACCACACGTGGCCACGAGACGTCAACTGACACTCGCGCACGACAGCCACCTCAGGCGCACTCTGGCTGTTACCAGATAGTCCTAGCCACTTTGTATTACCTATTTCCCTTATAGTTTACTTTCGATACATATATTTTCTCCCCAGAACTATACGCTATATGCAATAGTTGATATTTCGGTCAAAATGTGATCAAAGCTATTTTTCTGTGCCTTATTTATTTATTAGATTGTAGTATAAACAGTGGGTGTGTTTATGACGTCATTGTACACCACGCCTCTTACGCGCGATGTCATTTAACGTCATATATCTGGCAGGCCAATCAAAGCGACGGAGAGTCTGGGAACACGTTAAGAGTTTGTTGATTGGCTAACGAATGAAGTAGGCGGGGCCGTCAACCACGTGGCAGGTAGGAGACTCAACCATATGGCTCCTACACGATGAATCTGCCGTTGTGTACAAGAAGGAGTCGGTCATTTTAGTTGAGTTACCCATTAAACGTCGTCTGTGTAGTCGTTTTCTGTCTTGACTTTCCAGCAGGAGCTTCTTTAATTCCTGTTATATGTCTGTCCTACGTTTTTTGTCTTAATCTTATTGTCTCCTGTCTATTTGTCTGTCTTTCTTTTCATTCTTCATTTTATTGATCTTTTATCTTCTGTCTGTCTGTCTCTCTTTTTATCTAGCTATTAATAATCTCACTTGTTACCCCTGTTCCATCTACTGTCCCATCCACTGTCCCATCCACTATCCCATCCCCTAACACTGTCCCATCTACTGTCCCATCCACTATCCCATCCCCAACACTGTCCCATCTACTGTCATCCACCTGTCACTGTCATCCACTACCCTGTCCCATCTACTGTCCCATCCACTACCCCTGTCCCATCTACTGTCCCAGCTACAACCCTGTCCCATCTACTGTCTCATCCATTGTCCCTGTCCCATCTACTGTCCCATCCCCACCCCTGTCCCATCTACAGTCCCACCCACTAACACTGTCCCATCCACTGTCCCTGTCTATCCCATCTACTGTCCCATCTACTGTCCCGTGTATTGGAGTAGAGGGTGGGAGGAGGAGGGTGTAAGAGGGAGGGGAGGGCGAGAGTTGGGTAGGAGAGGTGGTGGTGGAGGGAAGGTGGTGGTGGAGGAGGTGGTGGTGGAGGGAGGTGAGGTGAGTGGTGGTGGTGGTGGAGAGAGGTGGTGAGGTGGAGGAGAGGTAGTGGTGGTGGTGGAGAAGGTGGTGGTGGAGGAAGGTGAGTAGTAGTGAGTGGAGGTGGTGGTGATAAATCAGTGTTTTGATGCCTCATGGTAAACGGCAAACATACACAAGCGTTATAAACACATAAACGACATGCACACAAACAGCATACACATAAGCAGCATACACACATAAACGGCATACACACATAAATGGCATACATACACAAGCATACATACACAAACGATATATACACATAAACGGCATACACACATAAACAGCATACACACAAACTGTATACACATAAACGGCATACACACATAAATGGCATACATACACAAGCGGCATACATACACAAACGATATACACACATAAACGGCATACATACACAAACGGCATACATACACAAACGGTATACACACATAAACGGCATACACATAAACGGCATACATACACAAACGGCATACATACACAAACGGTATACACACATAAACGGCATACATACACAAACGGCATACATACACAAACGGTATACACACATAAACGGCATACATACACAAACGACATACATACACAAACGGCATATATACACATATATACACAAACGGCATACATACACAAACGGTATACACACATAAACGGCATACACATAAACGGCATACACACACACACACATACACACACTCTTAACCATAAAATAAACATTAAAATTTATTGTTTAAGAAGAGCGGTTGGATGACGGTGGCTGGGACAGACACTGAATGGTTAGGTTAGGTTATGTTAGGTTAGGCTAGGTTAGGTTAGGCTAGGCTAGGTTAGGTTAGGTTAGGTTAGGTTAGGCTAGATTAGAGCTAAGTTAGGTTAAGGATTAGGCTAGGTTAGGTTAAGCTTAAGCAAGGTTAGGTTAGGTTAGGTTAGGTTAGGTTAGGCTAGGTTAGGTTAAGGTTAAGGTTAGCTTTGGTTAGGTTAGGTTAGGTTAGGCTCCAGTTGGAGGTTAGGTTAGGCTAGGTTAGGTTAGGTTAGGCTAGTTTAGGTTAGGCTAGTTTAGGTTAGGTTAGGTTGTGACAGGAAAGTTTTTGGTGGTGATTGTCGGAGTGTGAGGACTGTTATGGCATTATTTACACCAACAATATCCACAAGTATAATATTTCTCAGGTGATGAGTTACAATAATCCCGGTGACAAGAACAGATAGGTATTAGAGACTGCCTTAGTTATACTCCCTAGCGAAACAACGTACAGACATATGGTGGTAGTAGTGATGGTGGTGGTATAGTGACTGTGGTGGTAATGATGTTAGTGTGATGGTCGTGGTATAGTGATGGTGGTGCTAGTTATGGTAGTGGTGGTAGTGGTGGTGGTGGTGGTAGTGACGGTGGTGGTAGTGACGGTAGTGGTAGTGACGGTAGTGGTAGTGACGGCGGTACAGTATATAACCACAGCCACATAAAACCCAATAGCAGTATTAACGTCCCCGGCTACTGTCCTTCCTTCCTTCCTTCCTCACATTAAATCTGCCTCCCTCTGGTCACTACTGAGGCACCGACACATGGGTGGACACCGGCGAAAAATCAAAGCAGCCGAGTATCATAAACAGGGCCGAAAGAGTATCATAAACAGGGCATAAAAGCGGCAAGGATCAGGGTGAAGGCGGGTGGGGCGAGTGTGTGGGGGTCGGCGGCGGTGGTAGGGGACTCCTGGCTTGGGGGACTGTCCGATGGGTAGGTACTGGGTCCTGATACACACACACGAAATATTTTTCCTTCTATATTATCTATACATCATTCAATCTATCTTTATCAGTTTGCCAATCTCTCTCTCTCTCTCTCTCTCTCTCTCTCTCTCTCTCTCTCTCTCTCTCTCTCTATATATATACTGTACATATTTTTTGCCACATCTCGTCTCACCTCGCCCTTCCTCACACCACAACCCCGGAGTCACGTCGAGGCCTGGCGGGACCTGCGTGTCTATGAAATTATAACAATTTCCATAGAGCGGCAACGAGCGGGTGGAGGGACACACACGGCCCTGAGAACTATAATCAGCGACTACAATAATCTTTCATAATCTCATCATCTCTATAATTCAGCGTAACAGTCGTGTTGGGCAGAGCGGAAGGAGTGACAAAGTCTCTGTCGCTGCTGAGCTACGTATTCATAACCTACTTTTGACTCCGTTGATCTTATTGATTATTTGAGCCAAGAAGCAATCAGGCGCTCTCAATGTTGTGTATTTTGATATCATCCTTGTGTGACACGAGAGGCGAGCTGCTACCATCACATTTGCAAAGGTTGATATCGTTCATTATTTGATCTCAGGGACCAAAGCTGTGTAAGCTTTGTCTAAGGATGGAAAACTTTGTGTAAGGATCGAAAATTTCAACTAAGTATCGGGACATTTATTTAAGGATCGAAAACTTCTACTAAAGATCGGAAACTTTAACTAAAGATCGGAAACTTTAACTAATGATCGGAAACTTTAACTAATGATCGGAAACTTTAACTAATGATCGGAAACTTTAACTAAAAATCAAATAGCTTTTACCACCCCTTTGTGGAAGATTTCTATGAAAGAAGTCGTGCTTGGGGGGAGGAAACATCAGCTTTTGTGTTGTGATGTGACGGGAGGTTCAGTGTGGCATTATTTGTGATGGGTCTTTTGTATTTTAGTGATGATCTACTGTCAGCCTTTAGGAGGAGCGTCAGTGCAAGTATAATGTTCCTGCATGGATAAATGGAGATAACACGGATTGAAAATACAACCAGGGAGAATATAAAACACACACACACACCTGACACACACACACACACACCTGACACACACACACACACCTGACACTCATTAATCACACATTACAGTGCAAACAATTTCTAAATGACGTCACTCGTGAAATGTTTGACACGCTGGTGTTCTGAGCAGAGAGAGAGAGAGAGAGAGAGAGAGAGAGAGAGAGAGAGAGAGAGAGATAATGAAAGAACGAGAAATAGAGAAAGAGAAATAGAGGCAGAAAGAGAGAGAGAGAAAGAGAAATAGAGACAGAAAGAAAGAGAGAGAGAATAAGAGAAAAAAGGAGAGAGAGAGAGAAATGTACTACTGGGGAATCATAAGAGAGAAGAAGACTTCCCCACCCAAAGAGCGAATAGCGGTACGAGAAGGTGCGTTGTGTTGGCAACTGAGCCCTCCAAACACCTGTGACACACCTGTTGATGGCTACGATAATAGCTGTCAGTGCTCAACACCTGTGTCGTCAGTGAGGTAGTGTAGTGGCGCTGCAAACCATTGTCATCAGGTGAAGATAAACACACACGTATCTCGAGGTCATCAGATAACAGCCTTATACTGTACTTCATGCAGGAATATATATATATATATATATATATATATATATATATATATATATATATATATATATATATATATATATATATATATATATATAAACAGTATGTTAAGTTTTAATGCCCATAGGTTCAACGTTTAAGCTCCTATGGTTCAAAGTTTTAATGCCTAAGGATCAATGTTTAGGTTCTTAAGGTTCAAAGTTTTAATGCTTAAGGTTCAAAGTTTTAATGCTTTAGGTTCAAAGTTTTAATGCTTAAAGTTCAAAGTCTTAATGTCTGAGGTTTAAAGTTTTAATGTCTAAGTTCAAAGTTTGAATACCTAAAGTTCATATGATAAATCAGCTTTAAGTCTAAGTCTTAATATCTTTTAACAACGTCATAAATATCTTCAAACGTTCGTATATACTCTAAATTATCGTCCCAACTTACGAGAAGGTATCTATTTGGCTAAAGTAACCCCAAACCATCAAGAAGCTGTCCCAAGATGGCATTAAAGTTACACTTAGACTCGACCCTTTATAGGTTCTTCCGAGTCCAGTTGAGGGAGACAGTGTTATCATTTTAGTGAATCCCGACGCAGGTGAAGCTATACTGAGGGTCTTAACCTGACGAAGGACCACATTAACCACAGGTACCTTGCCCCCAACCCCCTCCTTTCCTTCCTCCTTTCTCTCACTTTTGTTTTTTTCATTCGTTTTTTTCGCTATGTCTGTCTGTCTGTCTGCCTCTCCTCCTTTCTCTCCCTTTCTCTTAGTTTTTCTTTTCTTTAATGGTTCTCTTCTCTCTTTTCTCATTTTCTTTATCTCTGTCCGTTCTCTCATTTCACAACTCTCTCTCTCTCTCTCTCTCATCCACAGGGGGTAGTATAATAGCATTGGGAGGACAATGGACTCCCTCTCATCAACAATGGCCTCTCAGTTCAAAATTATTACGGCGAATTCAATTTCATTTCCAAGGCGTAACACGTGAGATTTTCTGGGATATTCCTCTCTTTAGAATATATGGGCTAGAGACATGAAGAGCTCTGGATTTCGTTATGTAGGAGAAACGGATTTGTTTTTGTAAATGTAGTGCTGTAGAAATGTCTCGTTGGTGTGTCTTATTAACGTGATCTTATTACTTGGTGTTGGATGCCACGTCGGTTTGGGTTAGTCATTCTTCTTCTTTTTTTATAATGTGGTTTTTAAGGAATTCATTTACATAAAAAAACTCGTGTGTGTATTCATTCATTGCCTATTGTCCCACATATCACGAAGAAAGACTGCTGGTTAAATCTTTACCCATGTGAAATTTCGCAAGTATGTAGATTTACGTCAGAAGTCCCTTGACTCCACTGACTGTAAACATTTCTCCAACATTCGTTGCTTCTGACATTAAAAAAAAACATTGAAAATATTTCCTAAAAGCATTACCTCTGCTCCAGTTTCTAATAAAAACTCCTGTTGAAATATTGTGTTACCTTTTCTTTTAATAAAACTATAAAAATCTCTAAATCGTTGTTACAATGCGAAAATTTTTCAATGAACGCAACAATTTAGTCATAAAAAGGCGGCCTTCATTTCTGTCTTCAAAAAATTCAAGCGAGTATCTTAGTTAAGTTTTGATTCATGTTTCTCTGGCCGTCACTCGGTCTACTCACGGATATACAACTATTATTCTTACTCTCAGCAATACTTATAGAAAAATGAAAGGTGAGTTTGGTAATATACAAAGACATGACGATACGTACCCAGACATAAACATTTCTGGATGACCGAAGATATATTTGTCTCTTGAGTATTCACAGACATATTAATGCCTACAGCTATCTAATATGGCCTCTCTCTATTTCCTTCTCTCTCTTTTTAACCTCCTCCTTCTCTCAATCTGCCCGTCAATCTCTCTCTCACTATCTGTCCGTCAATCTCTCTCTATCTCTCTCTCTCAATCTGTCCGTCAGTCTCTCTCCGTTTTCTTTATCTTATCGTTCTTTATTTTTTATAGTGTCGTCTCCTCCTTCCTGTCTGAGAGCCGAAGCCAAGGGTCAGTGACACATGTAACCTAGGCGCCAGACGAAGAGCAGCGCCAGCCTGGGCATGAGGAAATGGTGCAGGAGGAGGAAGAAAGGGGGGAGGAGGGGGTAGGGGGTAGAGAGAGTAGGAGGGGGAGGGGAGGGAATGGGGTGGGGTGGTGGAAGAGGGAGAGGAGGAGGAAGAAGAGGAGGTAACCACAGTAGTAATTGGAAAAGAAGAGGGAAGAGAAGGCGGAAGAAGAGAAGGAGAACCAGGAAGAGGAAGAGGAGAATCAGGAAGAAGAGGGGAAGGAAGAGAAAGAGAAGAAGAAGAAGAAGAAGAAGAAGAAGAAGAAGAAGAAGAAGGTGTAAAAGCAGTAACAGTAGGAAAAGACGAAGAAAAGGAAAAAGAAAAAGGAAGAATAGGAGGAGGAGGAGGAGGAGAAGGAAGAGGAGGAGAAACGGGAGAAGGAGGAGGGAAAAGGAAATAATAACAACAGTAGCAATAGGGAAAATTGAGAAGGAGAAGAAGAAAGAGAAAGGAAGAGAAAGAATAGGATAAAAAGTAAGAGGAGGAGGAAGATAAGGAAGAGGAAGGACGAAGGGGACGAAGGGGACGAACAGCAGCAGGTGAACCAGTAGCAGCATCATCACCATTAGGGCCCCTCTGGCAAGAGTGTCCTGCACTGTACAGCACCTTGCTTCCTGTACCCTCCATGTATATATGTATGTGTGTATGTATGTATATATATATATATATATATATATATGTGGCGACCTATGCTGTAACGGTCAGCAAGCTCGCTTTGCAAGCGAGCAGACCTGGGTTCGATCCCAGGGCAGGGTGAAAAGTTTTTTTACGCCTCTGTCTACCCAGCAGTAATTGGGAACCTGGATGTTAATCGATTTGAGGATCGTATTCTGGGGCAATGGTTAGCCAGTGCAGTTGGCAAGCTGTTCGGTCTTCTCGGACTATTCTTTGACACTGGGTCATGCAGCTCGTTAACTTAGGGTGTGGTTGTTGTGCAGGCGACAGCTTCTAAACCTTAAACAAATTCACGCAGAGGTGGCCCTAGGGACGGCCATCCTAGTTACACGAGAGGCAACCATTATTATTGTGTGTGTATGTAAGCAAGCACGTGTCTGTGTATGCGGAGGTCAATAACACGCAGTCAGTCGCTGCTAAAGTACAAAGTCAGCAAGGTGATGATCAGGCGGGCGGCTCTGTCCACCTCCCTCAAGCACCTGAACCAATTTACGTATCTCACCTGACGCTTCTTGCAGTCACTGACCCGCGCGATAGGAAGCAGCTGCTGGTGGTAGCGGTGGTGGTGGTGAGGGCATGTTGAGTGAGAGAGAGTGAGAGAGAGAGAGAGAGAGAGAGAGATTTCTTCCGTTTTTTGTGACTCTCTCTCTCTCTCTCTGTCTCAGCAACTAACCAAAGGCCTCCGTGACTAAATTATAATACGTGCAATAGACATATCACGACCTATCTCCCTCACTGACACTTTGATCCTGATGGCCAATGACAACTGCGTATTTAGCCCCTAAGGTGGTTGTTAATGGTGATGAGACTCAACACGTGTTAAGGACTATGAGGTTTTCGAAGGGTCTGTGGTGAATATTTTCTTCGGAGTATTTTATTTTTATTTTTTTTTATAGTTTTTTTTTTTTACGTTTTATCGTTGTAAATAATGAGGGATAAAATAATGAAAATAAGAGATAGAACAGCGGTAAAATAAAACTATGAAGAAGGAAAGAAGAAAGGAAGGAAGAAGAAGCCGAAGGAAAACAAAGAAATGGATGAGAAAGTGAGAGAATATGGAAACAAATAATAGAGTAACGTAGAAACATAAAAGAAATATTAGAGAAATAGAAGGAAAACAAGATAAAATGTCAGAAAACAATAAAAAGAGAAGAAAGAAACTGAAAAAATCTAAGTACGTGTATAATGACGACAATGATGATGGAGGGTGGTGGAGTCAGGTCTACCAGGTACAGGTTCACTTGGTCAAGGCTTACTAGGTCCAGTTAACTAGGTACAGGTTCACTAGGTCTAGATTTGCTAGGCGTAGATTTACTAGGTCCAGGTTTACTAGGTCCAGGTTCACCATGTACAGGTTCACCAGGTACAGGTTCACTAGGTCTAGGGTCACTAGGTCCTGGGGTCACTAGGTCCAGGGGTCACCAGGTACAGGTTCACTAGGTTCAGGTTCACTAGGCCCAGGTTCACCAGGTACAGGTTTACTAGGTCCAGGCTCACTAGGTCCAGTCTCACTAGTTCCGGGTACACCAGGTCCAAGGTTCACTAGGTCCAGGTTCACTAGGTCCAGGTTTAGGACCAAGGTTACTGGACCAAGGTTGCTAGACCAAAATTCACTAGGCCCAAGGTTCACTGGGCCCCAGTTCACTAGGACCAAGGTTCACTAGGACCAAGGTTCACTAGGTTCAGTTTCACTAGGCACAGGTTCACTAGGCCCAAGGTTCACTAGGCCCAAGGTTCACTAGGACCAAGGTTCACTAGGTTCAGGTTCACTAGGTACAGGTTCACTAGGTCCAGGTTTACTAGGTCCAGGCTCACTAGGAGCAAGGTTCACTAGGTCCAGGCTCACTAGTTCCGGGTACACCAGGTCCAAGGTTCACTAGGTCCAGGTTCACTAGGTCCAGGTTCACTAGGTACAGGTTCACTAGGTCCAGGTTCACTAGGACCAAGGTTCACTAGGTCCAGGCTCACTAGTTCCGGGTACACCAGGTTCAAGGTTCACTAGGTACAAGTTCACTAGGTCCAGGTTCACTAGGTCCAGGTTCACTAGGTACAAGTTCACTAGGTCCAGGTTCAGTAGGTCCAGGATCACTAGGTCCAGTTTCACCAGGCCCAAGGTTCACTAAGTCCGGGGCGACGTGATAGTGACATGACTCGGCTGGAAGACTAGACGCGCTGGTCATAATCCCAAGGAGTAATAACACAACACGAGGACTAAATGAATCGCCTGGATCGATCATTGGCGCTGGGGAGGACAACGTTCTAATGGCAGGTTACGTGGCCGAGAATGAGAACCTGAACGATAGTAGAGGGAGGAGAACGATGAAGGGTGATTACGGTATAAAACGATGGTATGAAAAGTGAGGGAAGAGCCGCAAATTTCTGATTATACACCTGAGTGGGTCTCCTGCGGCGCCCCCTACCCCCTACCTTACCAACCCTCCAAGAGTTCTACGGTAGATGGTTAAGGTGATCTGAAAGACATAATGTGTGAGTCTTCTTGTTCACGGTGTACGAATAATTAATAGATCCTTTTTATGCTTTATCTGTATCAATAATCAATCTATAAACTATGTAACTGATCCTCTTTAGTATAAGCAACTCTAGTGTTCAATTTTGTTTTGTTTATACGATTTGAAATTCAAGATTAAAAAAAAGGGGAGGGATTTGAGCCTGTAAAAACGTTTCCTTGAGAGTGAAGCATAGTTATTTTATCTCATTCACCGAGCAGCTTTGATTCCGTTTTCTTTGGTCGTTAAAGATGGCCGCGATACATTATTGTCTACTGTACGTGAGGGCGAAAACAATAGCCTCAAGCACAAGGAATTTATTGTTCTAGTTTTATCTCCTGAATTAGTAAATTATTAAGATAGGGGTTATCTAACGTATCTGATATTCTATTAAGGAGTTACTTTATTGTTGACACCAGGTGATTAAATTTACGATAAGATGTTAAAGACTTCGTAGAGGAAGGTGTAGTGGCAGTACCTCTCGCCCAACATAGTGCTTCTATCACTCCTTTGTGAATTAGTTTAGCCTAAGATCCGAGTATTGGATGCTGTGGCAGAGTGGATACAGTGCTCTTATTTTCTCCTAAAGATCGTAGTACCGACATTATCTTAAACGGGCCGTGATGCCTATAAGACCAGCTTCCTTGCTCCGAGTAATGTTATATCTACTCATTTATCTTTAACTAACGAACAAAATACTGTCTTCTGAAACTACACCTTTGAAACGAAAATAACCACAGTAACAACGACAAACCACCGCTCCATAGTTTTAACTCTCTTTTTATCGATTATCTTATCTGGTTGAGGACACAAACCATCATGGCCAAGCCTTAAGCCATACATGAAGACAGCAACATATGTCTAGAGATAAACTTCAGTCATTTACATCAACCTTGATCTTACACCTAAGGTCGCGGCCCTCCCCCGTCACCCCTACACAGGTGATAATTGCATAATATTGCCGCAGGTGACGTCCGTAAAGGAGATGTTGGGCGAGTATCGTCTTATAAGACAAGCGCCTCCACAGTTATTTATGGGTTAGTAAACTCGATATGCCTGAGCTGCACACTGCTAGGTGGCACTAGATGTACACACTGGGGAGGTGAGAGAGCGAGAGAAAGCAAGAGGTGTAGGAGGATGTAATGAACAACAACTTTCATCTACTGGGGCGGTAGAATCGTTGTCAGCTGCCACCAGTTGTTGTCAAGATTGTGTGGGGTTTCACCTAATAAAAAGGTGTGACATGGCCATTGACTGTCAAGACTCTCTATCTGATGGTAAGTTACGTCGGTGTTAACTGCTGGGTAATAGGTAGTGCCGGCCGGGAGGGTGACGTAACGGCGCAACTAACTAGACTGTAGCACCGCTAAGAGCTACGTATCTGCTGTAGATTATCTCGCCTGCCCAGGGCCGCGGGGCTGCTACAACTAGTCTGCTTAGCCTTAACATGTCACGGACGGCGGCAGGATCACTACCGGCTGTGTTGAAATTCAGCGGCAGGCTTTCTTTGGCGAGCGTCCCACATGTCTTCGTTCAGCCAGAGCCACGCCTGGCAAGAAATACCCCCAAGATACTCACTCAAAGTTCCGATTGCATCAAGTTTATTGACAGTGTAGCAAGTTTTCGGTCTCTCCCGAGTATCTCACCGCCAATAACTTGCAGGCAGCAGACCGCAAGCTGACAGGCTAACATGGAGTACACAAGACACCGAGAACCGCGCCGACCACAGCGGTGTTCAGGAAGGACCTCCAATAAACAAGCACGAGGCCCCAGTGCCCCGCAACCACGCTGGGTTGGCTGAATGACGGTAGTATCGCGGCCCGCGTCTCCCATATGACTCCCGCCCGGACCACCTGCGTGCCACCAAGTTTTTGTGCGGGGAGTTTCTGACCCTGACAGAGAGGGAGTGCGACACACCTCCGAAGTGGCTGAATTTTGGCCAGATATAAAAGCTTTGTTTTGTGTTTATAAAGGCCATAGCTACTACTGCTACTGAGGTAGTTCCTGGGACTTTGTCTAACAGAGTGTGTTATAGTTAGACCCGTGTGACACCCTTCCTGCGTCACTCAACCATCATCAGAAATATCATGAAAATAAAACCCATTTGCAAGTTATGTCGAGGACAAAAGGGTGGAATTCACTCAACGGACTCAGGTACAACTTAACGTGGCTAAATGGTCCCAAATAACTAATTCAGATCTTGTTTCCCTACCATTATAACTTTAATTTATTCTGATAGAGGACATATATTGAGAGGGCCGCCCCATGGCCGACCGCCAGCCTGCCATTAAAATTCACCGGAGATCACCCTGGCGTCCGGCCCATGTCTGCCTGGTTTTAATTACATGTTGGGCTGGGTGATGTGCTCTCTGCCTTCCATATTTCAGCGAGTGGGAGAAGGCAAGACCCGTAAACCTCTGAGATTTTTAGGCGGGCCGAGCTAAGAACAGTGATTAACCCAGGAAGGAAGGGGGGAGGGAGACTGCAGCCGGCTTTATCACACGCCCTCCCTCCCTCCATACCTCACACACCTGTATCCATAATCCTCCAAACATACACCACAAACCTTCCATCTCCCTCCCCTTTCCATATCTTAAAGCACTATAATCAACACATCGCGAATAAGACACTTTAAAACACGAATAAGACACTTTAAAACATAAATAACACTTTAACCCTTGAAAACTACTTTAAAATACCAAGAAAACCTTAAAACACTAATAATAATAAAACCAGTTAAAGTACACGTTAAACCACACAAATTACACGTCATAAACACGATAATCATGTTAAAATATGCAAAAAACACAATGACACGATAATTGTATATATTTTGTTCTTATTTTCACACGTACGACTGCATTCTCTCTTGATAAAAATCTATTGTATTTGTAGTTCTTAGTGAACAGACGGAGCGATGTTTTTTGTTTTGGAGAGAGAGAGAGAGAGAGAGATGTGGTACCCCTCTCCCTACACTATCAATACACATACTTTTCATCTTCATTTATCATCTTATTCACCTTATTATATTCACCATTCTTCTTTGGTTCTATCGTCAATACAACTTTCTTCTAAATAACTTTTTTTTTCACATATCCCGTTTATGTTAACATTATTCACCTCTTACAACTTCTTTTTTTATTAATTATTTTACTCTTAATCATTGGTATTTTTTTTTTTTACATTTATTCATTTTTTTTGTTCTTTTTAGTCTACGTTGCTACTCAATGCTACATTCATATGGGTAAAATACAAAAACTTCCTGATCGTTTATACAACACGCCACCTATCTATAAAGTATACTATTACAACATCAAAATATACACCAATCATGTCGTTTATCTAGTCTTATCCCCCCCCCCCTCACCCTGCTTATACCCTCCTGTCTACACCATGGATACTTGAGGCTACATCTGTCAGGGAGGAAGCAGAAGTCTTAAGTCATGGCAACACACACACACTGGTATGAACAGTCCACGTAAAATTTTGTACAATGTAATTTTCTCCTTCATTCCTGTTTTATCAACCTGTCATTTCATCTTCCTCACTATCGTTTTCCCCATTATTCCAGATCACTTATCCCGGTTATCACTCATCTTCCATTTGTTCCTTCATTTGCTACTTTGATTTCTCGTCTCCTCCCACTTCCTCCTACTGAGACTGTATATGACAAGCTAAGGCACTCGTACTTTTATCCTATTCAGCTCAAGTTGTGTAAGTAATAATCAAGGACATGCATGCTTGAGGCCACACACATACTCACTCTCTCTCTCTCTCTCTCTACACATACACACACGATTTCTCTCTCCTGCGTCAGTCAGTTCGCCTAACATCTGGTCCTACTACTTGACCTGTATCACCTTCGAGGAACACCCCCACCACCCTCCCTCCTCCCCTAGTCTCAACATATGGACCTTATACAATAAATGAAGGGGAGTTTCGTTTTCTTTGATCCGTTATTATACATATACTTAATAGAATCCAATCTTCTATCTTAAAAAAACAACAATACTCGTAATATAAGTTTAAAGTGCCGTAAACGTAATAGAATCCAATCTTCTTTTTTAATAGGATCGATTTTCTTTAAATAAATAAATAAATAAATAAATAAATAAATAAATAAATAAATAAATAAATATACACACACAGTATGTTTGAGCTGACGTACACTTTATGGGATCCAATTAACTTTGAGGTATCTATTTTCTTATTGTTTAGGTTTTTATTCATCTTAGATCCCATTAAATCAGATATCATCATGGTGTTTATTGTAGGTAGGAGGTTATAGGCCTTGGGGGTTTATTTATGTTCATGGTTGTGGACGATTTACATATCAGCCATAAAACTGTGACGTAATATAAATAAACAAATAAACATCACGCACTCCACTACCATACACCTGTTACCACCATGATACATCCACCACCACATCCACATCCACTCACCCCTACACATCCCAGCCCATCCTTCACCACTACATCCCACCCTCACCCTTCTCCACCACCACCACTACCACACCCCAGCCCTCAGTATCCTCTACCTCACTCCACCACCACCACCACACCTCAACTCCCACCACCATTACACCCCAACCCTCACCCCCACCACTACACTCCAGCCCTCACCCCCACCACTACACTCCAGCCCTCACCTCACCACTACACTCCAACACT